TTTATTCAAATTCCATGAAAACTGTACTTTGAAAAATGTAATGATTGTTTTTCACAAGTGCTGTTGTACATTGCTTTTAAAATAGCAGTAATTAAGGGAAGAAGGCAAAAATAATTTTCATCCACTTAATATAGTTGTTATATCTCTCAGAATGTGTAATGTAGTGGATATTTAATGAAAATATAAAATAAAAGGCCATGCCAGAAGAAAAAATTGCTAACAGTTTGGCTATAAGTATCTCCTGGAATAGGAAACCAAACTGATTTGGAATGAAAGTTGAGTTGTACGTCTGGTATTCGAATGCATTATTTTGTGCTTTTAAAAAAATACACTAAATATCATGCAGCATATACTCAGGAAATGTCTTTAGGATTTGGTAGTGAAAAGTCTGGTCATGCAGGTACTTCACATGCAGAATATCATTGGAAATGCCAAATGTGCACAACTTAGCTACCAGTTTGCTCTTGTATTAGATAATATTTCCTTAGGTATACATTAGCTTTACTGTTATCTATCACACATTAAAAAAGAGAATAAGGTGTAAAAGAAGGCCTTGTTCAAAGTTCACTGAAGTCTATGGACAAACTCCAATTGCCTTTTATAGGCTTTAGTTTTCTTGTACTCCCAGGAAGCCTGATCCTGGATTTCTAGTGAATGCAAAACTTTGGCAGACATGGCCTGTCCCCAATATTTTAAAAAATTTCTTCATCAGTATTTTATTAATTTCAGGCTCTGTCCATAAGCAAGGTAAGATTTTTTTTTTCTTTTCTTTTTTTTTTTTTTAAGTCTCACAAATTTCAGCTAAAATAAAGCTTTAGTACTGTTGTTATTGCATACTTTTTTAAAGAACCCATCACCTCAGCATCTGAAGCCTGAGGCTTTGCACTTTATACCCTTTATACTTCCACTGGTATAAAATCAGTGGAGAAAATAAAGCATTATAGTATTCAGTCGTATCTTGACTGAATGATTTAAAATAAAAACAGAGCAAATATCACTTACTATCAGCAGAATTGTACAGTCGATTAACATTTTTATAGTTTCCTTTATGTTCAGGAACACTGAATGTTGTGCAAAATTCTTTTTCGTGTGTTGATTTTTACTTTACATTATTTAGAAGTTTATAGTGTTTCTCCAGGCTGGTTTTGACCTCTATTTAGAAAGAAATGGATTTTTTCCCCCCTTGCATTTTGATAAAACAGTAGACATGACTTTCTGTTGTTTACACAACAGTATCATTGATGAAACAATCAAGAGGGTTCTTAACTCCGGAATTAATTTGTAATTGCTTCTTTAAACACTGTTCACATATTGGTTGTTTTGTTTTGAGGTATTTTTATTTTTCATTATGAAACCAAAGCAAGTAAGTCCATGAATACAGAGTTAAGGTTCTTCATCAAGTGCATGTCCTGGCATGTATTTCACAATGGAGTTCAAATACATCTGAGTCTGTAGAAGTTCTACCAACATTCAGTTTGTGCATGTACTGCAAAGGAAGACCTGAGGGTTAGAGTGGACCATAAGCTGAATATGAGCCAACAGTATGATTTAGTTGCGAAAAAAAAAAGCCAGTAGCATACTGGGTTATATTAACAGGGGGTTCTCTTCCCAACCAAGGGAAGTGATTCTTCCTTGGTCTTCAGTCTTGGAGAGGCCTTGCTTGGAGTACTGTGTCCACTTTTGGGCCACACTTCAAGAAACAAGTGAACAGATTAGAAAAAATCCAACAGACTGTAGTAAAAATTATTGGAGTGCTGGGAAACATGACTTATGACCAGGGACCCTGGTTTTCTCTGGTAAAAAATTGCAAATTCTCTGATTAACCTCCCCTCTCCCCCCTCCATATTTTTCGATGATTAAAATGAAATACCACTATATATATAGGTATCAGTTGAACACAGTGTTTTATTGATACATTTACGATTTTAAAGCAATTTGGAAGCCTACCAATCACTATGATAAAATAAATATAAATACCTATACATTTTAGCGTTTGATTTGGGGGGTTTTATCTGGAAAATCAGAGCTCCCCTGCCCCCTTTGTCACAGCTGTTCTTCCCCCACCCAGCACTGCTTTGTGGTGCTGAGCAGCCTTGATATGCTGGTGCCCTGCCCATGACATTGCTCCTTATTCCCAAGCCACAGCCCCCAGGCCTGCTCCTCACTCCCCACCCACAGCCCCCTGGGCCCTGCTGGTGCCCCTCACTTCCCACCCCCAGCCCTGCCGGAGGGGACCACCAGCTGCCAGGACTACAGGGCCAGGGACCTGGGTCTGTAGCCCTTTGGCCCCTGCAGCAGCTCCTGACCCGTGGTTGCCACCCTTTGGAAGCAGCAGCTGCTGCAGCAGAGCAGAGCAGAGCATAGAGCCTGGCTCCTCCATCCCCCACAGGCAGCACGTCTGGAATGGAGCCTGGCAGGTGGGGGTGGGGTGATGTACAGGCTGCCTGCTGTGAGCTGGGGCTCCCCGCCTGCTGTGAGCTTGGGCTCCCCACCTGCTGCCCTCTCCCCTCCCCCCGAGCCTCCAGGGTCCAGCAGGCAGGACCTGGTGTGGCAGGGCAGGGAAGCTCAGTGCCACTGCTGCAAGCCCTGCACCACCATGGTGAAGCACCCCCTGCCCACCCAGCAGCGGCAAGGGGCACAACTCCACACTGCCAGCCCTGCTGCTGCCGGACAAGCAGGGGGTGCCTCGCTATGGTGGTGCAGGGTTTGCAGTGGTGGCACAAGCCTTCCCACTCTGATCTGCCCAGCCACACCAGGTCCCTCCCATTGGGAAGCAGGCCCTGGGGGGTGGGGAGGGGTGCAGGGGAGCCAACAGCAGGCAGCCCACCCCTGCCCCACACACAAATCTGGGGGGCATAAGCCCCCCATGCCCGCCCCTAGGAGCGTATTGCAGTGGTGGGGAGCCAGCCCTCACTGCCATATCCTGGACAAGCTGCCTGCGGCCCCATCCTGCTTCCTGCCCAGGCCCTGCAGCTGCACATTCTAGCCCCAGGCCCCAAGCCCCACAAACCACTGTGCCTCGGCAGCAGCCCCAGCCCTGCTTAACTCCCTCCCTCTATCCCTTCCTCCCTATGGGGGCCTCAGTCCTCTTCCTCCCCCTCCCCCCAACCTATCTACGGGGAGCTGCTCTTTGCTGCCTAGCAACCATGTGTATGTGCCCATGTGCACATGGTACCCCCTGTCTGATCATGCACCTCCCGCTTCCCACAGCCCCTTGCAGGCTGAAACTCTGCCAACCTGCAAGGAGAAATCCAGTTTCCCATGTTTTTTTCCTCAGAAAGAGAAAATTCAGGTTTTACCACATTTTTCTGTGACAAAAACCTGAATCCCTACTTATGACAAAAGGTTGAAATAATTAGGATTGTTTATTCTGGAGAAGAGAAGGCAGAGCGGGAGGGGGTTTGATAACTGTCATCAAATACCTGAAGGGCAATTATAGAGAAGATGCAGATGAGCTTTTCTCTGTGGCTGTAGGGGGTAGGACTAGGATCAATAGCCTCAAACTGCAGTAGAGGAAATTGAGGTTGGAGATTAGAAAGAGCTTTTGGACTAAGAGGGTGGTCAACCATTAGAATGGGCTACTTAGAGAAGTTGTGAAATCTCAGTCCCTGGAAATTTTCAAGAGCAGGTTAGATGGACATTTGGGTGGACTGGTTTAATCAAAGACAATCCTGCCTTGAAGAGAGGGCTGTTTTTTAGATGACTATGTGGGGTCCCTTCCAACCCTACTTTCTGAATAGCCATGTCTACTCCTTAGGTTCTCATTTTATTTGTATGTGCGTATCCTGTCAGTTCTTTAGCTATTAATGAGATTTCAATAGATTTGGGATGATCTGGGTGGAATGATCTCCTTTCTTGTTCTTTTTGCTTCTTTCTGCTTTCCTCTTTTAAATATCCCTTTTAACAGCAGGGAGAGTATTATGCCTGCAAATCACCAGATTTTAAGTGTGTGATCTGTCAGTACTGCTTTCTCTTAAACAATGACCATGGCAGTTGTCTTTATTGCCTAGGGGGAGGATCATGTCCCTGCAGAATGTAATAGCTGTCAGTTGTTTTCCTGAAGTGCAAAAGAGCACTCAAAGAAGTTGCTTAGGTATACAAGAACTGGAGTTTTGTGATGTATTGTCCCTCTGTATATTACCACCGTATGTCCTCATTGCCCTTTTCTTGGATTCTTATGGGCTCCAGGGGATCTGTGGCAGATAAACACTAGGTTATTGTTGGTCCTACACTGTACTTTACACTCTTGATAAGTTATACAAGGACAAATAGGGTGTATATGAAGATCAAAGAAACACTGCTGGGAAAATAAATCCTGTCAGGTGCATGGAGTACCTGTGTATGCCACACGGGTATACACACAGGGACAACTGGAAGAACTTCATTTATTGTAGAGGTTTAATTCCAGATTCTTTTTTACAAAATCTCATTGTTACATTCTCCATACATTATCTCTTCTTCCAAAGAAAAAATGTTTAATCAAGTTAGTGATATATCAGATCCATTTTTTTTTCTTTTTTGGAAAAATGGCTTAATTTACACATTTTAAGTGTGTTGGATTCAATTGATTTCAAGTAGAATTTGTATAGGTTATGCTGGGTTGATAACAAAAATATATTTTCTGTAGAAACAATGAATAGGTTCTTTCGGTCCTGGAAGTTACAAACCTTTTAGTCTCCACCTGGAGGGATTTCAGCAGGATTTCTTTGATACTATTACACAACAAAGGAGGGTTTTCCATCTTTTTCAGAAAAAAAACATGAATAGTAAGAAAATGTTAGTGATATCACTGACAGATAAAAGTTCACAAGGTTGAAAAGGAAATTATTTTTATTTGAAAAATAGATTGATACACCCCAGTTTTCAGGCCAAATAAATCCCTTCTTCACCAAAATGCGAAGGCAAATTTTGCTCATTAGTTATAATATTTTGACTGTACGGAATGATTTGTACCAAAATAATTACAGACAGTTGTAATGTTTTCTGTCATTTCTTCTCAGGTGGGCTGGCCTGCTGATACATCTCAGAATGCCATTAGTGAAAAGAAATATAGACCCGCGGCACTTGTGTCACACAGCACTGCCCAGAGGCATCAAGAATGAACTGGAATGTGTCACTAATATCTCCTTGGCAAATATAATTAGACAACTAAGTAGCCTAAGTAAGTACATAATACTTCTTTGCAATGCACTTCAAATGTTACCTGCTTACAGAATTTATAAGTGAAACAGAACAACTTTTTTAACTTGGCTCTATAGAGAGAGAGAGAGAGGTTTTCTGTTAACTTTGAATTATACAAAATACTCTAAGCCAACATTTCTCAAAGCAAAGTTTGCAACCCAAAATGGGGTCACAAAGCATGCTCTAATTTTGTATTTATTTTAGATAATCATGTGGGGTCAATGTTGCTTTGTTCCTGAAATAGTCCTACTCAAAATAAGTTTGAAAACTGGTGCTCTAAACATTTGCTTTCTTTTAATTTTGCAAATTAATTTACCACTCCTGAAGGTGCTAGATTGATAGTTTTGGAGACTTAACCTCCACACAACAGCAGGGTGGATTGGTTTAAGTCAAGGCAATTTAAATCACCAAGAGAAAACGCTGATTTAAGTCATTGATTTAAATCAAGTTTCCCACTGATACTTCTTCATATATTTCTTAAACAACGGTGCAAATCTGATCACTAAAACATGTTCATTTACAACTCAATACAGCATTTTACAACATCTGTCCTTAAACTTTTTTTTTAATTTTCAAATTTTATTAACTCTAACAAATAAGTCATCACAACACTAAATGTACGCTGACCTTAAAACTTCTACAACTAGATCTCATCTTCCCCACTCCCACTGTCATTTTTATTCATAGACTGAAATAGAAATACGAGTTTTCCTGTTTTTTCAACTCCCAGTTGATTTCTTGGCTTTAAGTGAATAAAACCGATAAAAATATTCTCTCTGTGCCTGCAGAGGAAGCTACTGCTGTAAAAAGTTGGCTTAGCAACTGAAGGAACTCTGTTTCAAGGTGCCTGGCTAATGATTTCCACCAATTCAGGGGAGTGACTTTGTTCAAAACATCATCAGTAAACATGTACTGTTTAAATGGTTCCCCTCCAGCCCTGAAATTTATTATGACTGGCATCACTGATGAGTGATTTTTTGAGATGCCCATGCCATGGCAGCAGCATGTTTTTCAGAAGTTAGGCATCTACCTTTATATCTGGGATTGAGAATATTCACAATAAATGAGGTGGAGTTAGTGCTTGATCCATTCGCTGCTTTATTGCCTGCAGTTTAACTTTCTGGTTAGGTATTTCTTTGTTCAATGTCTCTTGAAGTGCCTTCCATATTTCGACAGCATCAGCAATGCAGCAACAATCTCTCTGAAGTTTAAGGCTATGGATATAGGCTTCGGTATACTGAGCACTCTACATTCCTCTTTAATCCAATGTTAGATAGTTTGGATGAGATGCTTCCATCTATTTTATCACAGTTTTCTTCACAATTTTTTATGAGAATAGGCCAGTTCTTAATAAATTGTTCTAAACAATCGACCACAGAATTCCATCGAACATCTTGAGGGAGAATTAGTTTGGATCCTCCTGCTGTCTTCAGTGAAGCTGAAGCAAAATGGTTGTTACGGAAGTATTTTGTGACTTCAGCAACATTTTCTTTTACGGAGAAGAACTTAAGTCTTTGGCTAAAAGATGCATTAAGTGGGCACTACAACCATATGTTATTAAAGAGCATCCTTCCATTTCTTCTTCTAAGTATCTTCTCATCTTTGCCACATTTGCAGCATTGTCTGTGACAAAACTGCGCACATGACAGTGTAATTTTTGTTTACAGTTTATTACAGCTTTCACTGCCACTTCTTTAAAATATTCTGCTGTGTGGGCATTTCCCAATGTATCTATTGTTTCGGAAAGAGATGCAACCCCATCTTCTGCTGTCACACAGGCACATATTACTGGATCATTGTATACATTGCTCCACCCATCAAGGCTTAAACTGGCAAATTTCCCCTCAGTATTTCTCTCACACTGTTCAAGTTCCTTCTCATACACTGTATCTAGTAACCTTCCACCAATGTCTGCTCTACCAGGTGGAGTGTAGCCTGGTTGTAACGACTCAACCATATCAATGAAGTGTTTATTGTTAACAATGCGAAAAGGAGAATTTGTGGCATAAATGAACTGAGCAATCTTTTCATCTGTGATGTCTTGTTGGTATTTGTGGGTCCTTACTACAAACCCATCCATGGTGGTTTTACTGGATGATTGAAATCTTTTGCTTGCTACTGATACTTTGTTGTTTGAAATACGTTTATTTGCAGCACTGCTGCTAAAAGTACCAATGGATGACTCTGAAGTTGTTGCAGATAGACAGTCAGTCTCTCTTGTGCTTAAATGGGATCCTGAAACAAAAATGATTTTTGAATAGTCATTCTTCTCAGTTCTTCTCACTCTATTATTCAGTTAATCATTTACATTTTTTTCAGCAAGGATGCAGATCCGATTCCAAATTACCAAAAAAAGCTAAGACTGACTGCATTTAGAGTGCACCTAATTTTGGAGTAAGCCGCATTGAACTCACTGGCACTTCTGTTTTTTTAAGAAACCAAGTATAGGATGGGGTTCCCTTGGGAAAGCTGAGTTATGCTGAAGTAAAATAGGGAATAGACTTATGGCATCACCATTATGGTTTGGGGCCATGATGGTCCAAAATAAGGGGCATGTATTATGTAATATAAAATAAGACAATGACACCCAGTGGCAACTGGCAACTTTAGATTTCCTTACTGCAGCTTTCTGTACTGTAAACTTGGGTGATAGATTCTAAACCTAATTAACTAATTAAACAAACCATAAGGATTAGCTAAACTAAACTTTTTTTCTAGCAACATCCAACATAGCAAACACCTTGGGAATTTACTTGTTAAATCACACTTATAATAAAAGGCATAGAGAGAGTCTTGAAGAATGATGCATTGCAAAGTGAATTATTGAATTTACTAGCCAGTTGATCCACATTGTTCTTCAGACATATCCACATCTTCATCCACATCATTTTCTCCTAATAAGCAGTTTTCATTATGATGGTTCATTCTTGCAACTAGGCCCTGCATCTCCTTCTTGCACTGCTTACACCTGACACGTTTTCCATTTTTATCCAGGGAAGGAATTTCTTCAAAATATTCCCAGATAGGGTCTCTCTTACGCCCAGAAGCCATGACAGTTTTTCTGTGGCAAAAGTGTGGGGGAATATAGGAAGCTGTGTGTGTACTACTGAATAATGTCTTTCCTTTTTCTTTCCAGTCCACTCCACTGTTCCTTTCTACTCTGGCTCTGTCCTTTCCTATATTGTCTCTCTGTCCTTTAAGACAGTGTCTTAAAGAATTGCCTGTCCCTAATGTTAGTTTGGGCAGAGGGCCACTTACTGAGTTCTGGTAAGCCATCGAGGGCCACATGACAGGCAGCCGGGGGCAGATAAATATTAATTTTCTAAATTTTTTAGGGACTCCACAGCCTGGCGGGCTCCATCCGGCCCACAGGCCACATTTTGCCCACACCTAAACTAACTCCTCTGCCTTGCTTGGCCCAGCTCCACCACCACATAAGCACAGAACAACAGTCCTGTCCAGTCTCTGTGTCTTTGCACATGTGACTTTAGTCTCCTGAGAAACAGAAACTTAAAGCCCAGAACTTTCAAGAAGCAAGAGCTGGTAGTGAGGCTGGACAGACAGACTAGAGCCATTTTCCTGAGATGAAAAACTGAAATGAATGCCCATGTTTGATTGGTAGGTAACTCAATGTGTGTGTATGTGACAGAGCCATTAATTCATTTTTATGAGATTGTAAGTATAGGATTAGCATGTTTGTGATGAGATTTAATTGTAACTGTTATTTTTTAACCTTGAGAAATTTAGTATTTTACTGATGATTTAAAAAAAATTTAAAAATCCGATTAAAACATTTTTTTTTTAAATCATTGATTTTTATGCACCCTGCACAACAGATAGATAATAGCAAGAATAGTTCTGGTTTTTTTTCTGTTATCCTGTCAATTAATATCATCATTTAACATCAGAAATGGATTGTATACTTCGCATGCTTAAAAATATTGCTGCCACACATTAGGAAGTATTTCCTTTGCCTCTGTCATAATAACACCACTATATTTTGATCTCTTGCTGATTTGTGTTTTATTTCATTTTGTTCTGTGCCTCATTACTTCTGCAGTTTTTTGTCCCTGCACAGGGCAAAAGCTTGTTGAAATAGGATATCAACATTACAGATTATGGGCCCTAATGGCTTGAACCTGCTCCTTTTGTAGTCTGTGAATATCTTATCATTTACTTCAGTCAAAATAAGATTGGGCTAAGAAGGCTTCTTCCCAGTAATAAGCCTCAATGTTTTTAGTCATATGACTCTATAATCAATCAAACATAACACAAAAATAAGAATTCTAGTGATTGCCTGAAGTATTTGCCAAACTGATGGCAATTTTTGAGTAGGAAATATGACATAATGGAGCTCATGTTAAAGTGTAAGTATGATACACCCTTATGTATAATATGTTAGATTTTAGGCTGTAGGTAAGTACTGTCAGTCACATAATTATTATGACCTTACACAGGAAAATACATTCTGAATTGCATTGTGATCATTAAGAATAAAGGTGGTTGGTTTTTACTTTAAAGTATGAATAATTTCTACCTTGTAATTACTGTTTCAAACTACTTTGCAGTGTAGTTAAAAGCAGAGAAATAGCACTAAAGAATCGATATGAAGACTTTTTCCCTTCACTCAACTATTTTTTTCTCTGTATTAACTCTAAACATATGAATACTTCACAGGCTTTAGAACCCTACAGGAACCTTTCTGAAAAGGCTGTTTTTTTTCCTGAGCCACAGAAGCTTCAAAGGGTTGTCAAGTGAATAAGTATGATACAAGTTGAGCTGCCAATATTATAAGTGCTTTTTAACCACTAGGAAACATGTTTTCCAGGCTCATAACCCAATGAATGCTGAAGTGGTCATACATATATATCCACAACGTCAAAAAGCTTTCAGCGTCATCAGGATCTGAGAGATGGGCACATTGTCATTTCACTGGAAAGAATTAAACTTTTATCTAAAAAAAAAAAAAAAAAAAAAAAA